GCTGGGGGAGCCGGTGTAACCGGGCCTCTGCCTGCGGCCGGTGACTTGTGGAATTGGCTGTTTCTTGCTTCCAGGGAGGAGTGAGCGCCTCTTCCCTCTCTGCGGGGCCCCAGGGCCAGCGGAGCCCCGGGGCTCTGCCGGCGGCAGGATGGACTTGGCGTACGTCTGCGAGTGGGAGAAAAAGCCAAAAAGCAACCACTGTCCTTCCATCCCCTTAGTGTGCGCGTGGTCCTGCCGGAACCTCATCGCTTTCACCACAGACCTCAAAAACGAGGAGGAAAAAGGTACGGCATGCTTGCGGAAGGTTGGGTAACGTCTCCTGGAAACTCGCGGCGCGTTTAGGCAAGTCCCGCCATCAGGAAGCACGGGGCCAGGTGGCCTCTGCTCTGCTCTGACCCTAAAATCTGTCACCTGCGCTAATCAACACAAGAAACTTGCGCTCTTTCTTTTCTTTCCGTTCCTTAGATTTAATGGGTGTTTTGTTCGCTGGGAACGGCTCTCGCTCTGCTAAACCAGGGCACGCTCTGCGTTGGTGTCTGGTACCTCACCTGAGTTGCCGAGCGCAGTTGTTATCCTTCCCAAAATTGCTCGATGGGAAAAAAAAATTACGTCTTCCCCTGCATCAGCTGGGGCTCTGTGGGTTTAGAAACGCCAGCTGGGTAGCTGGTAACGAGGGACGGTGGTTCATTTCTCTCTTCCTGTAGATCTCACCCATATGGTCCATATCATCGACACTGAGCATCCGTGGGACGTCTATTCCGTTAACTCTGGCCATGCTGAAGTCATCACTTGTTTGGAGTGGGACCAGTCAGGTGAGCTTGGACCCCTTCTCGTTATCCCTGCGTCCCGCCATTCACGCGTGTGCCTTTCCTAAAACGATGGTATAAGATTTGTCGTGGAGAAGGGAGCGTGTCCGTCGCTTCGCAGCCATCAATTGGCTGTCTCCATTCGAACTGCACTGGGGTGGTTTGATTTCTCGGTTGATTTTTTGGCTGTACCCCCTGGTTCTTACAAGGCGCCATTGTGGTAGGCTCCAGGCTGCTCTCGGCAGACGCGGACGGCCACATCAAGTGCTGGAGCATGACCGATCACTTGGCCAACAGCTGGGAGAACACCGTGGGCAGTATGGTGGAAGGGGACCCCGTTGTGGCCCTGTCCTGGCTGCACAATGGCGTGAAGCTGGCTCTGCACGTGGAAAAGGTTTGTCCCAGCTCTGCAGGGGATCCGGTCAGGAAGGCTGGCTCGGGTCGTTAGCGGAGGACTTGGGAAGCCCCTGTCTGTGTTTCTCTCTGCTCTGGGCTTCCTCTGTGGCCTTGGGCGAGTCGAATAGGGGAATTTTTCCAGTCAAAAACAAAAGTCAGATCCCTAGTGCCTGCTGAATTTCAACGGGGATTGGACGCCTCGTTTCTCTTGGCGCTTTAAACATGTCTTCCTTAGTCTGGTGCTTCAATTTCCTTGGCTGTAAAATGGAGATAAAAGCATTTCTTTGCCTACCAGTAGTAATTCAGAAGAAATGCGTTTGAGGTCCTGAGGTTTGATCCAGGGATTTGGGAATGGGAGCCATATGTGCACGGAGATAAGCTGCTTGTTTAGAAACGTGTCTAATTCTGTCAGACTCGAAAAGAGCAAGTCTGCCAAGTAGAAGTTACCTGCTTACATTTTCTTAAACATTAACTGTGAGGGCGTCCCACAGAGAGAAGCCTTTCCCTCTCTTTAGTACTGGAGAACCCGAGGCACAGGGACGTAAAGGGTTGTGCGGCGGGTTGGTGTCGGAGCTGGATTTGGCCACAGAAAGGGAGAGGGGGTGTGGGTCTTCCAGGTTCAGCCCACGTTAAGTGGGGTCGGAGCTCTGTGGCTGGGGTGCTCCGAGAGCTTTGCTGATGGGCTGGTGTGTTCCTGCTGCCGCCTGCGCAGCTGGAACTGCTCTGGCATGGGGGCAAAGGGGCCTCTCCAGGGCCATGTAGCAGAATTGGGTGTGTGAGCTCGGTGCCCTCATCTGACTCTGTTCAGCTCTGCAGACCGCGCTGCAGTGACTTAATGAGGAGAGCTCCGCGGTCGTAAGCGCGCTGCGGGTATCGGGTGCAAATGCCTTTGTGTTGTTGACCTTTGTTCGCAGTCTGGAGCATCGAACTTTGGTGAGAAGTTTTCCAGGGTCAAGTTCTCTCCGTCGCTGACGCTGTTTGGCGGGAAGCCCATGGAGGGCTGGATTGCTGTGACCATCAGCGGGCTGGTGACGGTCTCTCTCCTCAAGCCCAACGGGCAGGTGCTGACGTCCACAGAGAGCCTGTGCCGCCTCCGCTGTCGCGTTGCCTTGGCAGATGTTGCCTTCACTGGTGGGGGGAACATCGTGGTGGCCACATCGGATGGCAGCAGCACCTCCCCGGTCCAGTTCTACAAAGTCTGCGTCAGCGTGGTGAACGAGAAATGCAAAATAGACACCGAAATCCTGCCTTCCCTCTTCATGCGCTGCACCACGGACCCTGCCCGCAAAGACAAATACCCAGCAATCA